AAGCCCAGAGCAAGCAGAAGGAAGGAAATAACCAAGATCAAAGCAGAGTTGAATTACATAGACACTAAAAGAATTATTCAAATGATCAATAAATCCAGGAGACAGTTCTTTGAAAAGATAAACAAAATCTACAAGCCTTTAACCAGACACATCAAGAAAAAAAAAAAAGAAAACCCAAATAAATAAAATCAGAAACAAAAGAAGAAAAATTAAAAGCAATACCACAAAATACAAAGGATGGTAAGAAATTATTATGAACAACTATATGCCAAGAAAAGTGAAGACATGGGTGAAATAAAAAAATTGCTAGAAACATATAATCTTCCAAACTAAATCAAGAAGAAACAGAAAGTATGAGCAAACTGATAACACCTCGTGAAATTGAAACAGCAATCAAAACACTTCAAGCACACATAAGCCCTGGACCAGATGGTTTCACAGGATTATTTTACAAAACATTTAAGGAAGTTGTAGCCCTTTGCTCCTCAGACTAGTCAAAAAAAAAAACCCAGAAAGAGGGAAGATTCCCAAACTCTTTTCATGAGGCAAGTATCATCTAAATACCCAAACCAGTCAAAGACACAACAAAGAAAGAAAACTACAGACCAATATCGCTGATGAACATAGATGCTAAAATCCTTAACAAAATATTGGCAAACTGCATCCAGCAATACATTAAGAAGATCTTACACCATGATCAAGTGGGATTCATCCCAAAGATGCAACCATGGCACAATGTACATAAATCAATAAATGTAATACACCACATAAACAAAATGAAAGACAAAAATTACATGATCATATCAATAGAGGCAGAAAAAGAATTTGATAAAGTACAGCACCCATTTATGATTTTAAAAAAAACTCATCAAAGTGGGAATAAAGGGGGCATACCTCAACATAATAAAGGCCATATATGAGAAACCTACAGCCAACATCATACTCAATGTGCAAGAACAAAACGCTTTCTCCCTAAGATGAGGATCAAGACAAAGTTGTCCACTTTCACCACTTCTATTTAACATAGTATTGGAAATTTTAGCCACAGTGATCAGACAAGAAAAAGAAATAAAAGACACTGAAATTGGAAAGGATAAAGTAAAGCTTCCATTGTTTGTGAATACCACGATAGTATATAGAAATCCTATAGACTCCACCAAAACAACCATTTGACCTAATAATTTGAAAAAAGAGCAGGATACAAAGTCAATATTCAGATACAAAGGCATTTTTGTATACCAATGATAAAATATCAGAAATAGAAATTAGAAAAAAATCCCATTTACTACAGCAACAAGAAAAATAAAGTACCTGGGAACAGACCTAACTAAAGAGATAAAAGACCTGTACTCAGAAAACAATACAATACCAAAGAAAGAAATTAAGGAAGACACAAATCAATGGAAGCATGTACCATGTTCATGAATTGGAAGAATTAACATCATTAAAATGTCCATAATACCCAAAGTAATCTATAGATTCAATGCAACCTCTATTAAAGTACCAATGACATATTTCACAGATTTAGAACAAATGTTTCAAGAACTTATATGGAACCATAAATGACCCCAAATAGCTGCAGTTATTTTAAGAAAGACGAACAAAGTAGGAGGTATCCAAACACCTGATATCAAACTATATTACAAGGCCATTGTAATCAAAGCAGTCTGATACTGGCATAAGAACAGACACATAGATCAATGGAACAGAATAAAAAGCCCAGAAATAAAACATGTCTCTATGATCAATTAATATTGGACAAAGGAGGAAGGGGCATATAATTCACCAAATGGTGTTGGGAAATCTGGACACATATATGCAAAAACAAAACTAGACCATGAACTTGTAACAAATACAAAAATAAACTCAGGATGGATAAAAGACTTTAACATAAGCTGTGGCACCATAAAAGTTCTAGAGGAAAGCATAGACAGGAAAATTTCTCATATCCCACACTGCAATATTTGCACTGACATATACCCCAGGGCAAGGGAAATATAGGAAAGGCTAAAGAAATGGAACTACATCCAATTAAAAAGCTTCTTCATGACTGATGAAAACATTAGCAAAATAAAAGAAAACCAATCATATGGAAAAATACATTTCCCAGTAATACCTCAGACAAGGGTTTGATCTCCAAAATATATAAAGAACCCACATGACTCCACTCCAGGAAGACAAACAATCCAAATAAAAAATGGGCAAAGAACCTGAACAGACACATCTCCAAGGAAGATATACAAGAGGCCCAGAGACATATGAAAGGATGCTCAGCATCACTAACCATCAAAGAGATGCAAATTAAAACCACAATTAGATGCCACTTCACACAGGTCAGAATGGCCATCATAAACAAATCAACAAATAAGGAGTGCTGGTGAGGTTGTGGAAAAAAGGGAACTCTAGTACACTGTTGGTGGGAATGCAGACAGTGCAGTCACTGTGGAAAACAGTATGGAATTTCCTCAAAAAACTAAATATGGAACTGCCTTTTAACCCAGCAATTCCACTGCTGGGATTATACCCTAAGAATCCCAATACACCAATTCAAAAGAACCTATGCACCCTAATGTTCATAGTAACATTATTTACAATAGCCAAGCGCTGGAAACAAGCTAAGTGCCCAACAGTACATGGGTGGATGAAAAAACTATGGTGCATTTACACAATGGAATACTATATAGCAAAAAGTAAGAAGGAACTCTTACCCTTTGCAACAAGCACAGATAGAACTAGAGTGTTATGCTAACTGAAATAAGTCACGCAGTGAAAGAAAATACCATATGATCTCACCTGTAAGTGGAGCCTAATCAACAAAACAAACTAGCCAGCAATATAGAACCAGAGACTTGGTAATGAAGAACAAACTGAGAGTAACCAGAGGGATGGGGAAAGAGGATAACGGGGGAAAGAAGGGGATGGGGTAGGTCAAGGAACATGTATAAAGGACCCATGGACAAGAACAATGGGGGAGAGGAATTGAATTTAGGAGAGGGAAAGTAGGCAGGACAGGGAAGAGCAATGGGGAAACTGAGGACAACTTAATTGAACACAATAAAAAATGTTTTTAAATAAAGTCAAAATGAGTTAAAAATTTTAACGTAAGATCTGACACCATAAAACTCCTAGAAGAAAATGCAGGGACACCTTGTAGACATTGGTCGTGGTGATAAAGAATATTTTGGAGATGACACCAAGAGCTCAAGCAACAAAGGCAAAAATCAACAAGTGGAATGACATTACGCTAAGTGGACGTTATGTTAAATGAAACAAGTCAGACACAGAAAGACAAATACTGCATGGCATCATTTATATGTGAAATAAAAAACAAATTCAAAACAGAAAGTAGAATGGTACTTACCAGGGCTTAGGTGGGTGAATTGGGGAGATGTGTGAAAGTACAAATTTGCAATCAATAGATAAATAAGTCCCGGACAGCTAATGCACAGCGTAGTGATTGTAGACAACAATAATGTATTATAAACCTCAAAGTTGCTAAGAAACTAGATCTTAAGTTTTCCACACCACAAAAAAGGTCACAATAATATGTGACATAATAGAGTTGTAACCTAACGCTATGCTGGTAATCATTTTTGCAATACATAAATGTATCAAATCAACACGTTGTACACCTTAACTTTACACAATGTTAAATGTCAATTATATCTTAATAAAATGTTATCTTTATGACATTATTAGTACTTATTTCATTGATACCAAGGGTGATATAAGAAATTCCATTTTCAAACATTGTCATGAGAGGCACCTTTTTTATTCAAAGAGGCCTGAAATGAATGTGAAAGTGGACCAACTGCTTTATATGAAAATGAACGGAAGGGGAGGCATAGAAACTGAAGTGTTGAAAAGAGGACCCAGGAGTAGAAGGACATGCACTTTCTAACCAGCGGAAACTGGATTCTCGGGTGCAAATTGCCACATTGTAAACTGGGGATTGATTTTGTAACTAATTTGTAATCTGTAGCACCACATCCCAGAAAACTATAACTGTTCCTAAGGGAAGTGTCTGTTCTGATTATGAGAGCCTTGGGGCGATAAATTCTCTGTGACGTGAGAGAAGAAAAGGAAAGACAGACTTGACTCATTGCCATCAAACGCTCTCTGTGAGGCTTTAACTTACAAACCAGATATAAAATGGAGGAAAGTCTAATAATCATGTCCCCTTGATGTCTATTTCACTCATTTTTTTCATTTACCTGATAACTACTTAAATTAAATTAATAAGGGTGATTGGTTCAAAAAAAATCATACAGGTTTCAAGTGTACGACTCAATAAATCATCGTCTGCACAACATGTCATGTGCCCAACGCCCTAAGATCTCTATCCGTTCCCCTTCCCCACGCCCTTTGCCCACTTCCACCCATATCCAAAGAAACCTGAAATACCCGAAAATTATGTATGTTTCCAATACTAATTCTTCATTCACTTTACTTTTTGTCCTTACTGTTAGATGCTTCTTCTTTCTTTGCACCCACAACATGTGACATTGAAGATCTAGACATAATTTTTTAAAAAGTCATTTTTATTTCACCCACGGGGTGGTAGAACTGCACCCAAACCAATGTATCTGACTGACCTCACCAGCTGCACTGAACCAGCCGTGAGCCAGGCCTGTGGGGTGCAGAGAAGAAAGCCACACATAGTTTTTAAGTGTAGATTTACTGTATCAGCTTTGCAGGAGGGGGGAGAGGGCAGAGTAACACCTGACATTAGAAAGCCTTGTATCTCATATAAGGAGATATCTAAGATTCAGCATCTAATTGGTGTTTGAATTTCAGAAAGTTTCCTTTCATATCGTCTCTGATGGCAGGGAAGATGTTAAGCAGGGTTTCTATTGGCTGCTGGGAGATGGCGATGTCAGGGGATGGGACTATATAACCCCCTTCCTGCTGTGGGAGCCCCCATTATGGACCAGGAAGATTTCTTGTATGGTTTGACGAAGTTGAGACTGTTGCCTATAGACAAGAGGGTCAAAACGACCATGAATGGGCACTGCTTCCTCCAAGGACTTGCTGTTCTCCTCGTCAGTGTCCTCGCGAGTGCTCAAGGTAAGCAGAGCCTCACTTCTGAAAATCAGCAGTGATACTGGGTTAGCTCTCAGAGTCTGGGCAGATGATCCCTGGGGTTGTAAAGGCAACGCCTCCCTATTAACCATTTGATTTTCACCAATTATAATCTTTATTGACAGTCAATGCTCATTTTTCTCCTGTGGGGACTCTGTTTTTCAAGGTTAAAAGTGAGACGCTGTAGAGATGTAAACCTTGTTGTCAGATTGACCCGAATCTGTGTTGCGTGCCTCTCCAACACCATAAAGCGCAAATCACCTTCTGCAATGGATTATGGCTGAGGGTCTACCCCCGGCGGGGCCTCTGATCTGTCCTACCTCAAATTTATATTATGTCTCTCTCAACCATTATTTTGATATTTCTGCTCTTTCAGCCAATACATTCTGTGTGTGTGTGTGTGTGGGAATGCAAGCGCATGCACGTGTACTTATGTGTATGTGTTTGCTGGAGAGAGAGAGAGAGAGAGAAATGGGTGAGGGGAAGTTTGAAGAGTATGTAAAGATTGTATATGAAAGCAAGAATATGTCTGCCCAGGGAAATCAGTATTTTAGATAGGAGCCCATAGAACTCACACTTTCTAAGCCGGACTGTGGGACCAGGTGGTGGAAGTGGTAGCGGCGGTGATGATACAAGTGCATGTGTATATGATGAGGGCAGAGATGGAAACCTTCCTGCCTATAAAGAAAGTCCTTCCCATATGAACTATAATTGCAGCCCAGATAACCCTGCACCTGCAGTCTAACCATGACTTGGAGTTTCTTTATCTTCCCCACAAACCCACAGCTCTAGTGTTTTTCTGCTTTACTGTAGTTTTTCCCCAGCATTGGGTTCTGGACAGAATTTTGTGTATTTGTAATGTTTTCCCTCCTTAACTCTTAGATTGATGATCCTCAAACCCCACTGTGCAACAGAGAAAAGTGATGCCAAGTGTAGGTGCTCATGGGTGAATTAATATTAGCCTTGAAGGCAGAAGGGGAATGGAGCCTCAGAGACTTCAGGATGTACCTCTCTTGGTCAATTTTGCCTAGCCCCACAGGGTTACTTGAGCTTGTTCTGTGACATCCTAAAGGATCTGCTAATTAAGAAGAATCCTCTGCTTATCAAATCCCATGGTGAATTTTCTCTCTTGTAGATCCCGCGGATCCTACATGAAATCTAGCCCCCATTGGGCCCCTGACTCAAGATTTCACTGTGCAAACTGCCAAAATGAGAATAGTCTAGCCATGTGCCTGGAGAGCCGGCTCCTGTAGCTGTGGGCCTTGGTCTCTGGCTGCTTTTGCAATGCTCCTCACCTCCCTGTCCCTCCCCTTAACCCATGTTTCCTCTTTATTTCAAGATCCTCCACTTAGAAGCCTTTGTTTCTCTTCTTTGGGAAGTTCTATGCCTCCCAAAGGGAGGGAGAAGTTCTGTCTCTTCCTTTGTTATATTTCTTGAAACTTCCAGTTCCTTGGGTTTTGGCCATATGTTAATAATGGTTGATTTTGATATTTTTATCTGCATTAAGGTCTTATCCCTTTATTCACATGAAAATTTTACTTTTTAATGCAAATAGTGTATCTTGTTTTGAAGTATACTTTTTTGTAATATTGATATAGCTCCTCCACTCAATTTATGGTACTGTTTACATAGTATATAAATAAATTTTTTCCATCATTTTACTTTCAACCTTTTTTTGTCCACATATATGAGATATCTTGAATACAGCATTTACCTGAATTTGTTGTTTATTTAGAGTGAATTTTGTTCAAAGTATCTAATCCATTTACATTAAATGCAACCACTAATACTGTTGGCTTAGCCTACCATTAGCTTTTAATTGTCCCACCTGCTTTACATTCCTTTTTCTCTCTCTTTTTTTTTTTTGCCTCCTTTATATTAACACATTTGTTTTTAGTCCAGATTTTTCTCTTGTTCTTTGATTTTCAGGTGTTTTACTAGGTATGGGGCTTTTCATATGTTTCTTAGGATTCTTTGAGCTTTTTGAATATGTGTGTTACACTTTCACCCATTTTTTAAATTCTCAACCATTATCTCTTCAAGCATTTCTTCTGCAGCTCTCTGTGTCTTTGTCTCTGTGTGTGTATCTCTCCATTCCTCATCCTCGCCCCCCTTCTCTTCTCTCCTCTAAGTGACTATTTCTGTCTTAAGTTCTATCTAAAAGTCTCTTAACCTATTCCTTTAATCCTTAATTCTAGACATTTTATTTCCAGTTAGTATTGTTACTTTGATTTTTTATATATTGACAATTCTTGTTCTATTTTTCATCTTTTTACCTGATTTTACTTCTTCCCTTTTACAGTAACAGTTTTGGCAACCCTCAGTCTACCTCTGATTTTTCTTGTTTCTAGGGCATGGGCTCGCAGGGATTTCAGTGGAGAGCCTGAATGTTTTGGGAACTCAACACTCACGACAATGGGGGAATATCCACTCTGCTTTCCAAAATTTTTGAGGTAGTTCTTTGGCCTCCTGCCCTTCACAGCTTTTAACCTGGGCAAATATTTGTGGAGAAAACTGTTGTGTGAGGGTGCCCTGCAAGCCTCCAATGTGGTCACTCCAGCACCGGGTAACCCCCAAAGTGAGGCTGGCTTCTCTGTCCCAACAGGAGTCCTCTGCCGTGCCTGAGCCCAGATTCGATGCTATTAACCCATGCACTGGATTAAAAAATTCCCAGAGGCTGAAAAAAAAAAAAGGAGTAGAATCTTGGCTAACACTGAAATAATCTCCACTCTTTGAGATTTTAGCATGTATAGTCCATGTGACATCCACAAATACCTAATACCTTTACTTTAATTTTACATTCTTCAGCTCCTTTAGTTGTACCCCATAGGACCATTCTCAATGGAAACAAAAGTTCTAGGTTTTAGACTCTATTCATCACTTACTTAAAGCAAATTGACAGGCATTATCTTAACTTCTCTTTACATCCCTTTCTTCATGTGTAAAAATTAGAGAATAATAACAGTGGATTTCTCAAAATTGTTCAAGTACTTTCAGAACGGGAATATAACCTATTTCTCCTCTATATTCAAGTTAGAAATACATGATTTTTCCCTCAGAAATCAAATAACTCCATATTTTGAATAATAGCAATTCTGACATGAAGATTAGATTTGTTTGTGGGAGGAAACAACATTCTATGGTTCCCAGTGGAACCTCTGGCCAATGTCTATCAATACCATCTGACGTTATCTCTCACATAAGGTTGCCCAATCTACTCAAAGAGAAGTACGTGATTTTTAAACTAAGTATCCAGACCTGGAGTCTGAAGCCTAGAAGCCAAAGGGAAGTATTCAGGGATAAACCATGGCCTGTGTCATGGTCCGCTTTTCAGCCCTTGAATACTATGGACCAAGAGGAGCAATTCTGAATGGGATAGAATTCATGGCTGCTACCGGAGACTTCTGAGGAGCTCACCCCAGTTCCTCGCTCCATTCTCTTTAACCTAATTCTTCAAGTTCTCAGGTCAATGGCACTAAAGTATGTGGTTTATAAAAAATCATTCAGCTGGTAGCCTGTTACAGAGATTCTGAACCCATTTACCCGCTCAGGATAAGGTTCTAACATTTCCTGTGTATCTCCTACAGGTGCTATGCCGAACTCTACAAATCACAAGGTTATCTCTGACAGGACCCATGTAACAGTTTTCTCTCTGAGATACTCACCACATTATTTTCTGCCTAAGTTTTCCTGGGTTGTTTTTTGTTCCCCCTGTATTTCAACTCTGTTATTTTCCGATCACTGCCGTAGGAAACGAGACCCAGGTGTGATCCTAGTGCAGCCAGCTCTTCAGGTGAGGGTGTCCGACAGAACCAGAAAACCCCTCTCTCTTTCCCTGGGTAAACTCCCCCTTGGCCTCTCTCTCCTCAGGCGACGGACAGCTCCGCCTGGCGGACGGGGGCAGTCGCTGTGCCGGCAGAGTGGAGATCCTTCACGAGGGCACCTGGGGCACCGTCTGCGATTACAGATGGGACCTGAAGGATGCCCAGGTGGTGTGCAGACAGCTGGGCTGTGGAGAAGCCCTGGATGCCAAGGTCGTTGCTTACTTCGGGGAAGGATCAGGCAAGATCTGGCTGAACAGCGTGGACTGCACAGGAAAGGAGTCCCACCTCCGGAAGTGCAGTTCCTGGGACTGGGGACAGCACTACTGCTCGCACAAGGGGGACGCGGGGGTCATCTGCTCAGGTCAGCGCTGCACATTGTCCATTGGCTGGGGAGGGGGTGGGGCGCTCAAGGATGGGAGTCTGATCTCTGCAGGGACGGGCAGGGGGTGTTGCTGAAAGAGCTAGAAGAAAAGGAAGTTTCCTTCCACTGTGCCTGTGCAGACAGCTTGTCCGTGGAAAAGCCTTCAAGGCCACTTACACTGGAGCAAGATTAGGGCGGATCAGGCTGGAAAGGGTGAAGCACACAGACAGGGAGTCCCATGTCTGGAAGTGCCCTTCCTGGGCCTGGGGGCCTTCTTACTGCAGTCACGGGGAGATGAAGGAGTCATTTGCTCAGGGATGATCAGTGCATTGTCCACTGTGTGAATGAATGGCAAGTCCCAAGGAAGCTGGTGTCTGATCACTGGGGCAATAGAAGGTGGATGGGCTAGGGAATCTGAGACATCTACCCATAATCCCCAAGTGCACAAAACACCTGTGAATGATAGGATTCTTTTTACTTTCTTCTTATTGTCTCAAATGCTATTTTTTCCTTCTTTGGAGACAAAATAGCTTATTCAACTATTATCTCAATTAGAATCAATCTTCGTGATTTTTTAAAATTTAACTTTTGTAAAAATGATTTTGTAAGTGATTTTGCAAATCACTACACATATTCCCTTTGTATAGTGAGCCAGCCTGTCAGAGAGAGGGTCAAGAATAAGGATGTCCTGTCCTTGGTTGAATTGTTTCTGTGTATACAATGTGAGACAGTGTTTTGCACTAGATTGAAGGAGTATTAAACAAATCGGAGAGGAATTTAGGGATTTATGCCAATTTGAAATTCTCCTCTGTAAATTCAAGCCTAAGTGTTTCTAGTCTTTGGCCTGTAGAACCTGAGATCTTTGGATGAAATGATTTGGATCATAGATTCTCCTTTCGTGTTACCTGAAAAGATTTTTCTTTTTTTTCTTTCAAAACATCTGTATAAACTCAAACTTTGAGGGACACTTGCACTGGCAAAGAAATGGTGAAGGTAACCAAGTATTAATTTGTATCTTTTATGTAAGAATAATATAGTTTATACGTACCAGCTCAGTGTATTTGGGGGGTTATTTGATAAGACTGGGAACAAGGGGACAAAGAATTTTTGAAGACGGTGGGAGAAGTTATGGTCACTCTGGGAGGTGAGAATGATAATGGGATCTTCCAAAGGGCTCACACAGGGTTCCCTGAGCAGCACAAAGAGCCCCGGTGTGGTGTAGAACAGGCTTTGTGTACATTTATGTGAATACTGTATGGCTGGTTGTAGGGATTGAGAAGAATGAGTTGCAAGAGTGCCTCACGGTTGAGATCGGGAAAGGGTCAGAGTGGTAGGGACAGGATCCCAGTGATGAAATGTTACGTAACTTGCCTGAGGACACAGGATATCTATAGAGCAGGACACCAGACAAGGATATATCTGACCATAATTTTCCTTTAGCTTTTGGTGAGGTGGAGTAATATAAATATCCCTCTGAAGAGGCAATTTCCTTTTCTTTGTGCTGAGTCTCTCATGCACTTAGCAGAGGTCTTAGCCTCTGTACTCATGTTTACCCTCTACTAGAAATAAAGACCTACAAAGGTGAGAACATTCTTTTTTTTTTTCATAATATCTGAATTCTATTTGAGAACTTTCTTTTATTGTGATTTACATTCTTTTATTTTGATTTACCTATGAAAGTTCCTGAAACATAACATACTATACAAACATGTTTGTATTTTGAAGAAAACAACATGAAATAGACTCAACATTGTTTTCAAATACCTTTTTCCTATCTAAATATCAGGCCTGTGCTGGAGTTTAGAGATGCCTCATTTGAAGCCTCCCTTTTTTCTCCCTTTTGATCTTTTCCCAATTTTTGCCTATTTCTGGGCCTCCAGTGTCCCGCTGTCTTTGCTCTTTCCTGCACCCTAATGGAAAGTTCCTGCCGACCACCTCTGGCTTAGTAGGGGAATGCACAGCCCACCGGCACAGGGCAAGTTTGGTCTTAAGGAAGACACTTGGATCTTTGTGAATCTCTGAATGGCCAAATACTACACCAATGGAGACATTTCCCACACCTCAGACAGCAAGGTGCTCTGTTTTCATCAGAATGGAAGAATCCTGGGCTGATAGAGAGGGACTGGAAAGGTAAAGACGTAGGTGAGGCTGACCATCAAAACCTTGAGAGCTGTTGACTTGGAGACATAGGAGTCACAGCTGCAGGCAAGACAGAGGAGACAAGGTTGGTCAGAGGTGAAGTAACAAAAACAGGACCTAGATGAAAGGTGGTGGTACCCAACCTGGCCATCTTTGCTCTCCTGCTTTTCTAAATAAAAATCAAAACAAAATAAAGCTATAGCAATGAGAGGGAGCATTTCCTGTGGCCAAGGGAACCAACCCAAAGCACAAGCTGAGATATAGAAACTTGAGGATCTCTCAGGCTGAGGCACAGGCACAGAAAGAGTAGTTTCCTAAAGACCTGGCCCCCAAGACCCCTCTTGTAACTCGGGTTGCTGTCTATCTTGCAAATGAGCTAAATTTGGAAAAAGGAGAGAAAAGTAGAGTGAATCACCAAAGAGAGTGGGCCATGATATGTACGTAACAGTGGGCCCGAAGGGAGATGAGATGTTGTAATAACCTGGGACGTGGAGCTGGCACGGAGACCATAAACCAGGCCCGGGAGAGGCTAAGTCTGGAGGCAACAGTATTCCCTAGCTCTGGAAACTTGAACAAGCCCCTCTTATGATAAAATCTCCCAGATTCTCTCTTCTCTGGCTTACAATAAGAACACAGTGCTTGAGGATCCCCAGTAGCATTTACAGCTTCTAAAGCTTGTTGATTTTAAATCTTAGCCATGAAATAGTCCGTATTTTGCTTGGTGTGGGCCTGGATACCTCTCTCCTTTTTAACTGAAGCAAAGGTATGTCTGTAACTTTTCTTATCTATGACTCAACATGTGACTAGAGTTCACTGCAGTGCAAGACGCAGATTTCAAATTTTAGGGTGTTTTGTTACTTCCAGCTTTTTTTATGTTGGTACTTTAGTGCTTCTATACTATTAGCTTAAACATATTAATGCTAAATTCAGGATTCCTTGATAAAAACCACCTGTCTGTCTGTCATTTCTTCTTTAGGCAGATTTTTGGAAATGTGTCTGGACATTTTTCAGGTCAGGTCAGGAAGACCAATTTCCAACAAAAGGGTTAAAGAGCTGGACAGGAGCTCTCAGTGTAAGCCTAGTACTGAGCCTGGAAATTTCACTCACTCTTCTCAGATAAGCCGGTCGAAGTTCAGTGAGAATCTCCATGTCAGTCAGATTCTTTCTGGGCCCTCATTTGTACAGAAACTTCACTTTCCATCCCATAAACATCTAATTAGCCCAAAACAAGTGGGGGTTACCTGTGGTGAGCCCCAATACTATTTTACTTTGGATGATAACATCTATGACAGCACTGAATTATTAAAACTTCACTTCTCACTAGCAATACCAGTCTTGCCAGAGTCACAAAACAATGGGAGGACTTGTCACATCCCTGAAGTGAACAACTTCAATCAATGTGAAAATCTGGGGTCATGTTAGGTGACATGCTGAAGAAATGTATGTTAGTAGGGGATCCCAGAATAAGTCCTTTGTGCAATCAAATATTTTTCAAAAGAGAGAGAGTGAAATAGATATAGATAGATACAGATATAGATATAGAGATAAAGATATAATTTATTTTTTCACTCACTACTTTATCATTAGGTGTTAGATGGGAGGAGCACAGGGTGATAAAATGTGTTAAAGACTTGTTCCACAGGTATTTATCCAAAATATTGATATCTTTCATCTATACTAAAGCTTTTGCTATTTGGAAGTCTCCAAATTATACATTGTTTGCCCTCGGCCTCATTCCTTTACTCTCTTTTTTAAAGCATGCTGGCTTCTTATCTCAAGAATCCAAGTAGGAGAGGGATATACACTTAGCATACAGATAGGATTAACATACCTCAATTGCTCTCTCTCCTTAGCATTGGCTTAGATCCCTTTGTCTGGGAAGAAAAACCCAGAATGTAGTGATCAACAAACTCAGCTGCCTTACATATTACCCTGAGGACTCTCTCTCTCCCAGGCCCATTGGCAAATCCTAGGGTTCAAGAAAGATGACTAGGACAGTCACTCCTTTTCCTGTGACTCTTGGAGTTTTCTTAACATCCAAGCCCATCTTTGGACAGCTTCTTCCACAATCAGGTCCCCTAAGAAATTCTTGGAATTTTTGCCTTTGAAAATTGTGGGAAAAATAAAATGTGAGACCATAAAAGTGGACTAATTTTATGTGTATTTCCTCCTTCGAGCTAGAAGCCTGTCTACAGTTTGGCATGCACTCACGGATCCAACCCTCATCGTTTTCCCTCATTACCCTCTGTCGCTTGAAGGTTGGCTACTGAGATAAAGCTGCTCAGAATTCTAGCCCCCAAAAATCTCAGGTTATCCTTCTAACTTGTCTGCCTTATAGACCTCTAACTGATAGAATCTCATGGACTCTTTTTTTTTTTGTAACTGTGTGTTCACTCACTTAATTCATACCTCTATACCCAAGTTTAAAAGCCCATACGGTGCAATTTCCTTGGGCCCTGTACTTGCGAGGCCTCTAGGTAAAAAAATTCTCATTTGTAACCAACTTCAAAGTGTACATTTCTCTTCAGAAATTTGTTTATGAAAATGCAATTCTGACAATAATTGTCACAATGGCTTCCCATGCCCCACCACCAGAAAAGTAAAACTTTCACATTGCTGCCTGTGACACGTTTCCAATTGCCAAGCCAGGATCAAGAACACTTCACTGGGTCTGTTTGTTCTTCCTCTCAGGCTTTGTGCGTCTGGCTGGAGGGGGTGAACCCTGCTCAGGGCGAGTCGAAGTGTATCCTAGAACACACTGGATGGACTCCAGTGTCTGATGGGAACTTCACGTGGCCCACTGCCCAGGTCATCTGTGCGGAGCTGGGCTGTGGCAAAGCTGTGTCTGTCCTGGTGGATGTGCCCTCCAGAGGGTCAGATGAACCGGTGTGGGCTGAAGAGTTCCAGTGTGAGGGGCAGGAGCCTGAGCTCAGTGTCTGCCCCAGGGCGCCCTGTCCAGGAGGTGCTTGCCAGCACAGAGGGGCTGTTCAAGTTGTCTGTTCAGGTGAGATGCAGAGCAGGACTTTAACCTCCCTGCATACTCTCTTGGGGAAAGAAAGACATGAGGTTTTGGTGAAATCCTGTTCTCTCCTACCAGCATACACAGAAGTGCGGCTCATGAACAATGGCACCTCTCAGTGTGAGGGCCAAGTGGAGGTGAATATTTCTGGAGGATGGAGAGTGCTCTGTGCCTCCCACTGGAACATGGCCAATGCCAACGTTGTCTGTCGTCAGCTCGGCTGCGGTGTCGCCCTCTCTACCCCAGCAGGAGCCCACCTTGTGGAAGGAGGTGACCAGATCTGGAAAGCCCAGTTTCACTGCTCAGGGGCTGAGTCCTTCCTGTGGAAGTGCCCGATGACTGCCCTGGGCATTCCTGGCTGTACCCACGGGAACACGGCCTCTGTGATCTGCTCAGGTAAGAGAAAGGGAAGGGCTGCCTGGTACTGAGGGTGTTTCTTAAGTGAAATGTCTCTGTGAGCAGAAACTGTGGAAAAGTTGCCCTCAAAAGTATTTCATGGTGAAATATGGTTATTCCCATTGTTCATTCACCTTTTTTGATCAATGCAGGAATGTTAATAGGAGTAATATTTTTCAAATAAAAATTCTATTTAAGTATGATCATGGAGAATGTATAAGTAATAAGTGTACACCTCAGCCATGTGCCCCACCCCAGATTAATAAAGAGATGATTTAAAGCACCCAGGAAGCCACCTTCCCTTCCCACCAATCACTCTGCCCTCCCTCCTCTCCAAACAAGACCACTTTTCTAACTTCTACTACCATGGAATAGTTTTGTTATTTTTTGAACTTTATATAAAATCATGAAATGTTTTCTTCTGTGTCTTACTTCTTTGACTCCACATTGTGTTTGGAATTCATTCATGTTATTGCTTAAGCAGAACTTTATTCATATTATTGCTACAGAGTATTCCATTGAATGATCACATGACCATGCATTGGTCAATTCCAGTGATGGTAGATTTGGTTGTTTCCAATTCTTGACTATTACAAAACATAATGCTACAAATCCCATGACAATGATTTTTGGTGCAAATATGTATATTTATTTTTTATGTTTGATCCTTGGCCTTTAATTTTTACTCCCTTAATGGTATGGTGTCCTATATTGAGCCAAGTTCTTAATTTTAATGTATTATAACATGTCAACTTTTTCCGGTACACTTAGGGTTTCTTATATCCTTTTTAAGAGAACTTTCCTACCTGAAGACCACAAAATATTCTCCAAGAATATCTTATAGAAACTTAATTATTTTTCTTTTAAATATAATTTTACAATTCTTCTAGGCAATTAATATCTATGTATGGTGTGAAATAAGGATCAAATTTCATAGTTTTTAATGGACATCCAATTGACTCAGAAGCTTTTCCTGAAAAGACTCTCCCTCCTGCAGTGGCTCCTTTGCCATAGAGTACATGACGTCTGAGCCTTTCTCTAGATTCTACTTTGCTCTGTTGTATAACTTATCTATCCCTGCACCATTTCCACACTTTCTTAGTTACTGTAACTTCATAGTAAGTGTAGAAAACTTTTAAAAAAGTTACTTAACAACAACTCCTCTAACTTTGTTACTTTTCTTGCCTACTGTGTTAATCATTCTTGGCTTTTTGCATTAGCATATAAATGTTAGAATTAGCTTGTCATTTTTCACCCAAAAAGAATGTAATGGTATTTTGATTGAGATTAGATTTATTCTACGCGTGAATTTGAAGGTAGTTAACCTTGAAAACATTGAGTTTCCCAACTCATATACATGGGATATCTCTCCATCCCTTCTAAGTCTTTCAGAAGTTTTACACAGCTTTCACTAGGATTTCTCCTAGGCATTTTATGTTTCTGATGTTTTTAGTATTTCTTTTAGTGAAGGTGTCCTAGGAATGGATTCTCTCTGAATTGTTTTCACCTTCATATTTCTGTATCTATATTTTGACTAATTTGAAACTTAAATTTAAAAGTTGTGAGAGCAAAGATTTCCAGAGAGCCCTTATCCACAGTCCACCAATGTCAGTATCTTGCGATCTGTCCCCTCCTCCTGTCCCATCCCTCCCTGAATATGTAAAATCTTTCAAAATTTGTAGTTAAAATTAGTAGGTCACAGACATTGTATCCCTTTACTCTTAAAATACTTCCAATAATTACCTTACAAAACAACAGCACAATTCTCATATTCCAAAAACTAACATTGTTCTAATACAATTATCTAATCCATAAGTGTTATTCAGATTTTGCTGAGTGATCCAAGTATATTGTTGAGGCTAAAAGATTTGGGTAATGTGCTGCATTCTGTTGTCATGTCCACTCAGTCTCCTTTAGTATTGAACACTTTCTGAATCGTTATATTTCATGACACTGACCTTTTTAAAGAAAGCAGGCCAATTATTTTGTAGAATGTCTTTCAATTTCAGCTGGAACCATACACAGGAGAATTAAATACAGTAGGAGCACAGTAAATTGATATGGGAGTCTATCCCACGTAAATGTAAATTGACTTTTTTTCCTATGTAAAAATGGAAAAGAAAACATTAGCCAAATCAATCACAAAACACCAGTCTTTCCTAACTTGTTGAACGGCTTGAATACAGTGATGCCGTAGTGAAGAGAACCTTAAGGTTTCTATAGTCCACAGTTTGCCTGCAGGATCCACCAGTTTTTCTCACAGGTTCTACTAGACAGATCCTCAGGTAAGGCCTGAATTCTTGATGTCCCCCAGGTACGCTGTTTTAAATTAGCCACTTCAGTGGGTTTAGGTAATTCTAAGGTCCCCACATAGCAGGTCAATTAAAACAGAATAGAGAACAGATTTGTACATTCCTCTTGCCAAGGGTTTGGATAAAGGAGGATTCCATTTAAGGGTGGAGCAGGACAATTCTCTCATTTAGGATATGAGTTATGCACACCTGCCTTTATATCATTCACTCCATTAAGAGTTTGTCTCAGATAAATGGTAATGGAAAAAAAATACAATTAAAGAAAGAAAACTGGGACAACTGTAATAGAATAACATTAAAAATGACTTTAAAATAATCAAATTTGCCTACATAAAAAAGGGAGAATATAAAAGAAAAAACAATTTTAAAGAGTTTGTCTCTCTATCTACATTTTAGCATAAGCTGAGGCAAATGGAGGGTCCTGAGTAAGACTGAGCATTCCCCTCCATTCGGCAGAGTCTAGTGAAAAAATTACGTTGTTTAATCTCGTGTGCATAAAATATCAAAAAGGGATAGTGGAAGAAATGATTACGCTGTCCCACAAGGTGCCTTAACTCTTTGCCTTAATATCCCCAGGTTTTAGGGGCTCTTGACTATTTTCCCCTGCACCACGTGAGATCATTTTAGTGATCATAAGTGGAACAGGGTCCCTCTTAGGATTTCACATGATCTCCACCCAATTCCTTTACGGTGTTGTGGCCTTCCTTCTACAAAATAAATCATCAGCCATGACTCTGAGGCTCTGGCAGTTGCCGACTGCTTCTCTTTTAGCTTCATTAATGCACACAAAAGCAGCCAACATACCATATTCACTCATTGGGATAATGTAAATGTCTTTGCAGGAATTTATAAGTCAATTCTAAAATCTATGTGGGGGAACAAAGGGCAAATAACTTTGGAAAAGAAGAACAAATCTGGAAGCTCCTGATTTCAAGACTTACTATCAAGCTGCAATAAACAAGACACTATTGTCTCAGAGTAAAGATAGATATAGAGACATCAGTGGAACAGAATAGAGAGTTCAGAAATGGACACAAATATATGTATCAGTTGATTATATACAACGATGCTATTATGGATTAAATTGTGCCCCTGTACACAAAATTCATATGGATCAGCCCCAATCCAATATGACTGGTAATCTTGTAAGAAGAGGAGATTAAGATGCAGACACACACGGAGGAAAGATCAATGGAAGACACAGGGAGAAGACAGCTATCTACAAGCCAAGGCCAAAGGCCAGCCTTGAACAGCTCCTTCCCTCATCACCCTCATAAGAAATCTGCCTTGTCAATACCTTAACCTTGGATTTCTAGCCTCCAGAATTGTCAGAAAATAAATTTTTGTTGCTGGAACCACCCAGTGAGCGGTAGTTGGTTGCAGCAGCCCCAGCAAACTAATACAGGTGCCAAAATATTGGAGGAGGTATATATTTTCAAAAATGATGTTGGAATAAAGTATCTGTATGACTGAAAAATGAACCCCAACCCTTACTTCACACAGCACCAAAAAGAAACAATGAGCTTCAAATGATTATCAAACAACCTATATGTAAAATGTTTAACAATTGAACTTCTAAAAGAAAACGTAGGAGGAAATTGGGGGGATCTCGGAGTAGGTAATACTTCTGTTACTGAGACAGGTGTTTTCATTTTGTTTTTCTGAATAACAAAAACCCTGGAAACACTCACCAACAGCATCTACAAAAACCACAGGGCTTGTCCCATAGTCTCTCTAAGAACCTCCCAAGGCCTTGGTCCAAAAGACACGGCACACATTTGGGGTTACTATGAATAAAGATGCTATGAGCATTCATGTTCAATCCTCGTTCAGACAAATATTTTTAATCTCTTTAGTAGAAGTTAAAGACAAACATTTCTCTCTCTATGTAGTGGCAGCATTCTGGGGAACACGGTGAGTGTCCTGGTTACTAACACTGACTAACAAATTTTCCTAAAAAACTCAGCAGCTGAAAACAAATAATACACGTCATTTTGCTCAGATTGCCTGGGTCAGGACCTTGAGACAGACTTGATTTGGCAGTTCTATCTTGAGGTATTTTATGTGGTTTCACTTAGATGTCACCTGGGGCTAAAGGCATCTGATGGCTTGCCTGAGCTGGAAATCCAGATGGCTCCCTTACACACAAAACACCTGGTAGTTCGGCTTAACAAGGCCACCTGCGTATGGCCTTTCCAACCTGACAGTCTCAACAGAGTCAGGCTTCCCTTAAAGCAAATGTCCTAAATGAAATGTGGGGAAGCTGCACGATTTTCTGACCCAGTGCTAAGAGTTAAGCAGTGTTGCCTTCCCTGCATTTTGTTGCTTACAGGCAGCTCTCAAAGGTTTGCCAAGATCCAGTGAGAGAGCTATAGACCACACTTCTCAAAGGATGCACTATCAAAGACTGGTGGAAGGGTTTAAAGAATCATCATGGGTGTATTCAATATCAGACTGTGACTGTGCATTTTCTAATGTATTCTACCTTTCATTTTGTCAGTTACTGCTTTATCAATCTAGGACTTTGTACACATGAAGATCACACCTTTTCAGTATGTTTCCTGTTCCCCTTTTTATGTTTTTCTATCCTTTGCCTGTCTGTGCTTTATTCTATATATTTGCCTCTGATCTTTTCTTTTCCTATTTCTACTATGTGCTGATCTAATGTGCCATTACACTCACTTTCTCAGTTCTATCAACTTTTTAAGTCTTAGAATTTTTATTTGCTTTTTGTAATAACTTCTCTGCCAAGACAAGCACTTTGTCTTTCAATTCTGTGAGCATTTTAATCATGGTTATTTAAACTCCTAGTCAGGTAACTCCATGCTAGATGTCTTGTGAAAATCATCGGAATGTGTCCTTTTTCCTCTTCGTTTTCCACAAGATCCTTTTTATATGGGAATTTTTTTAACGATAGACATTGTGGAAATCCTTCAGAAAGCACTTATTTTGCCTCCAGGAACCTGATTTAAGGGTGGTTGCCTTATTTAAAAGGAAATGCAGTGATTAGAACCTGAGCATCCTTTCCTGTGAGGAATATTTTTATCTTACTTTGCCTTAGGATTCTGGTTAACAGGTAAGGCCCTCTGTGGCTCACCCTGAATTATACTTTGTATTCCCCAAACCCTGTGAGTTTGACAAAATTTCCTGAGCTGTTCAGAGTCTAGACAATAACCCTTTAATTCACAAAGTCCTCAGGGGTAGGGGCTCATCTCTGCCTTTTCCTTCCTTCTGACAGCCTGGATCCTTAAGTTCTCACTGCCTTCCTAGCTCTACAACACTTTCTAAGAGTACTAATACATTCCAGCTTCTCTCTAAACTCATTTTTCATGCAATGTTTAGCTTAAAAGAGAAATTTGGGCATTGTCAGTAGTAGAACTCTCCATAAAGAAGGTGAGTCTAATATTATACCATTACTCCTAACTTTCAGCTTTCATCTCAGACCCCATCATTAGGTTACTATGAAATTCAATTTCCTTTTCCTCAACCCCACTCACTCTCCAACTCTTTCCAGGAAACCAGACCCAGGTGCTGCCCCAGTGCGACTCGGTGTCTGAACCAGCAGGCTCTGCAGCCTCAGAGGACAGCGCTGCCAACTGCTCAGGTGAGGGCTCCCACAGGACCAGAAAACCCTATTCTTTTTCCCTCTGTAAATGCCCCATTTACCCCTCTCTCTTCAGAGAGCAGAGCGCTCCGCCTGGTGGCCGGGGGCAGTCGCTGTGCCGGCAGAGTGGAGATCCTCCACCGGGGCGCCTGGGGCACCGTCTGTGATGACGGCTGGGACCTGAACGATGCCCAGGTCGTGTGCAGACAGTTGGGCTGTGGACAAGCCGTCAATGCCACGGTCTCTGCTCACTTCGGGGCAGGATCAGGCCGGATCTGGCTGAATGACGTGAAGTGCACAGGAAAGGAGTCCCACCTGTGGAAGTGCCCTTCCCGGGGCTGGGGACAGCACGACTGCGGACACTACAAGGACGCGGGGGTCATCTGCTCAGGTCAGTGCTGCACATTGTCCATTGGCTGGGGAGGAGGTGGGGGCCCCTGAGGATGGGAGTCTGAGCCCTGAGATTCTTGTCAAAAGGGCCAGAGAAGGAAGCTGCCTTCCACAGGGCCTGCCTGTCTAGCAGGTATGACGATTGGTATTTCATTTCCTCCTGCGGCAGCGGGGGCTCTGGTCCTTCTTTCTCAGCAGTATCTCCTGACAAAGCCATTTTTTAACAGGACTTCCATTGAAAGCAGGGCTCACTCTTCAGTTGCTTATGGTAGTAACATCTTGAGATCCGACTGATGCTGTAATGAATTACCATATGGCTGAAAAACAAAACAAATTTATTATTGTACAGTTCTGTACATTAGAATCTGACAGCAGGCCCCATGGGCTGACGTCAAGGTGTCAACACCGCTGCATTCCTTCTGGAGGCTCTGGGGAAGATGTCCGCTCCCTGCCTTGTCTACTTTCCAAAGCTGGTGTGCATTCCTTCCTGGGCTCCATGCTCCCTTTTCTTTCCTCAAACAAACAACGTTGCTTCCCTCTGACCCTTCTTCCTTAGCCACATTTTCCTCTGAACCAAAGCTGGGAAAGTTTGTTTGTTTTTAAGAGTGGATGGTCCAAGGATGTGATTAGGCTCAACTCACTTGGTTAATGCACAGTATCTCAGGTTAAGCTCACCATTCCAAAGTCTTTATTCTTAATACTAACTACAGTCCCTTTTCCCATGAAAGGTAACATTTCACAGGTTCCATGAGACAGAATGCAGAAATCTTTGGGGGTCCATTATTCCACCTACCACCCACTATCCATACTCCCTTCCACAAGCTTTGTCAGAAGTCTTGTCAGGAAGCAGGACTTAGCTGCCCTCCCGGCAGAGGGCTCAGGCTGGAGATCCTCTCTGTTCATGTTCCACTACATCACTCAGGTAGAGACAGACAGACAGAAATGGACGAAGTCAGGGAAAAGGGACACAAATGTCAGTCTTGCCACTTAGTGGGTGTCTCCTTAGCAGAGTCAGCGATGAGTGTTCACATCCGCTGGGGGAGAGAAGAAACGCCAAGCTTTGAGTGAACTGCTCACTGTGCCCTGCTTTCCCTTTCACTTTAGAGTCCCTGGCGCTGAGGGTGGTGAGCGAGGACCAGGAGTGTGCCGGGTGGCTGGAAGTTTTCTACAATGGGACCTGGGGCAGCGTCTGCCGCAGCCCCATGGAAGCCATGACCTTGTCCACGATCTGCAGACACCTTGGCTGTGGGGACAGGGGGACCCTTGATTCTTCGGTCAATTTTAGAGAAGGTTCCAGACCCCGGTGGGTGGATGGAATCCAGTGTCGGAACACTGATATGTCCCTCTGGCAGTGTCCTTCTGACCCTTGGAAACACAGTTCTTGCCATCTGAAGGAGGAAGCTCATATCACATGTGCAGGTATTTGCTGTCTGTTTCTATGCATCTGTCCCACCCCTGTAGGAAGCTGTTAGTGATATTTCTATTTTCAAACCTAAGGGAAGACTTTAATGTGAGTGTACATGATGCAGATGGGTGAACATGATTTAATCCACATGTTGCAATCTCGTTTCAAAAGAAAAAGTAAGAACACCTGTGCTCATAGCAATTATGTGAAAAATATGAGACACTGGCAAAAACTTGTGGGAGCACCATTAATAGTCTGACCAACTTTCTAAGGAATCGCTAACTCATTAGGAGTAGTTAAAAGGTATGCCCAGCACCTGAAAGGAAGTTCGGGTCAGAGCATGGAATCAATCCTGGTTGTTCCATCTCTTAAACTCTTGATGTTTTTCTGAAATGCATCTATACCACTTAGACTACTTCTCAGCTCAGTGGATTGGTGGATTGGCTGGTAGTAATTGATTCCTGTGGGTACAAATTTATACTTTAGGTAAGAAGACAGAGAGGTGAAAAATTATAGTCACAGCTCTCATAACACTTACAATCTAGTGCTGAAACACTCATGTGGCATAAATTACAAGACACATGAAAAATGAGAAAGTGCTTGAGAGCATGTTATACAGGCAAAAGAAGAATAATATTTAGACGGAGATCTATAGGATGAGCTCAAGTTTCTCAGAGGAAAAAAGGGGACAGATCATTTTGGTCATTGCAAATACTGAGTTGGGATAGGACATGGTATGTCTGAGGTACTGAGAAAATTCCATCTTGGCCAGAGCAGAAAGAGGATGAAGTAGAGAGATACAGGATTAGCAAAGTATTAGCCCAGAATGGAAAACAGAGCAAAGACCTCTGTTAGGCGGGACTTAGGAGAATAATTCTATTAAAGAGGAGTTTTTGTTGTTGTTGTTGTTTTGTCTCTTTGTTTGTTTATGTACTTCTTGGCTGCCAGGTCGTGGAGAACTGCTGGGAGGTCAGTGGACTCCCTCCCTATATTTTTCAGCTTGAATTTGTCTCTTCGAAGAGGCCCTCAGTATATTGGTCTTCTTCGCTAATAAATACTTCATGTTCTGGGCCTTTCTCGTTTACTATTGTGTATTCTCTGCACCTTCATTCCTTCTCCCAGAATCTTCTGCAGAATTTGGAGCCCATCATCCTGCAAATTCTTTTATACCTTCAATGTCCCCTTCACTTCTATGTTCAGATCAAAATCTGACTTTTCCTGAAAACACCAATTTTCCTCTCAGAGGCTGTCTGTATCTCTTTCAATACCCTTTTCCCTGCACTAGACTTGGAGTAGGTATGCTCCTCGCTCTCAGTTGCCATTTTCAACAATTTCTGTTCTGTGTTTCTTCTCAACATCACATTGAAATTAACAGCATGAGGCAGTACCACCTCCTACTTCTGTGCTGCTGTCATCGTCCAACCTTCTGCTCAATGACCCCCCACCACCCCGCGTGCCCACTGAAGACTGCAGCACCAGGCTCACGACGTTCTTAGTCTATGTTGCACTCCTGGAACCATGAATAGTTACTCCAGCATACTTAAATGCAACTAAGGCAACAATCCTGGCCTCTCAGTTTGTTCAGTCCCTCATTTCTAAGCACTTTCCCTCCAATCCAACCTCTGGCTCTGCATACACTACCAACCATCAGTAACTGTACACCTTGAAATCTTGATTTTTTAATTCCATTCTCTGATCATTGCTTCTTATGATATGGCTCATGAACTTTAATGATCCTTTTCCAATAATGTTCATCCTCATGGATATGCCCAGTCTTTCCCTTATTGATTTTTCTTACTCTTCTTCTTTCACGCCTTCACATTTTTCTTAGCCACATTAGATAATATGATCCAACATTATAATCATTTTCCTTTAACTACACTCAACTCTCTTGCCTCCTCTTTGTTGGTCTTAACATATACACACATAAGAATGGTTAAAGTCAACTATCTAACTTCTCTTTGCCTGCACTAGACAAATAAGGCAAGGAAAGAACTCACAGCATGTGGCTACTCTATTTGGGAGTTCGTGGGCACAGTCTCTAATGGGCCTTCCACTCTGCCTTAAAGCTTTACTGTGCTTCTCCAGTATGTCTGCTTTCCCTATCTTTAAAATTATATTTTATAGAAGTGTTTTCCTCACACTGTCAAAAGGGAGTAAAAAAGGGGGGAAACTGTAATTGAACACCAATAAAAATTTTTTTTTAATAAAACCTGATTCCTCCTATCCGTTCACAAAATCATGATCTTGTGACTTCCCTCACTGAGAAATTAGAATAGAAACAACTCCTCGTCTTCCTTTCAGCACATCTACCAACTTGTGGCCTGTACACAGGCTCTCATCTTGGGTCCAAATCAGTGGCCTTAGTCCTTACCTTATGCCACCATTTTCTCTCAGGCAGTAGATTGTAATCACACTCACCTTGTCAAATTCTTCAGATCTTCAATCATTAGTTGTCACAAAGCAGGATGTTTTTTTCCACCTGCTCAACCCCTGTACCTAAAGTGTTCCTCCCTACTACATTTCTCATTTCAGTTAAAGTCACTACCATTATGTAAGCTCCATAGATAAGAATCAATCTTCATTTCTCTCGCTTCCCTTCCCCTCTATTCCAATATACCAGCAAGTTCTGTTGGCTCTCTCTTCTAATGTATCCTTAATCCTCCTACCCTTTCTATTTTCATTATCATCTTAGTCCAGAAGAGAACCTCTCACTTGGATTAACCAACAGTTGCCAAGAGTCACCAGGTTCACTCTTTCTCTTCCATGATATGTATTTTTCCTCTGTCAGCCAGAGACAACTTTTAAAATTTAGTTTGTATATTTTTACTTTTCTTTTTTTGTTGTTTCCGTTCTTATCTTTTCCTTTTTCCTTAATCCTCCAGTGGCTTTCTATTGACCTTATGATGAAACTCAGATTTCTTACCCTAGTTGACAAAGCCATACTCGCTCCTCCTCCTACCCACCACTCAGTCCTTCTCTCCTACCACTCTTCCACTCAGCAGGTATGGGTATTGTACTCAAACATAAAAAGTATTCACGACACTGTAATGAAAACTAATGGAAAGGTTTTTAAGCTCAGAAGTAAATTCATCAGTTTTGCATTAAGAAAACATCCTTTGACCCTAGTGGGGTAGCTTGGTTCATTAGAGCATCATGCTGATACACCAAGATTGAAGGTTCAGTCCCCAGTCAGGGCACATCCAAAAATCAACTAACGAATGCATAAATAAGTGGAACAACAAAGTGATGTTTGTTTCTCTCTCTTTCTCTCATCAATAAATTAAAATAAATGAAGAAACCAACTTTGAGTACAAGAGAAACAACAGATTATCTCAGGGGAAAGGGACATGCATAATGGTAACTTAAAATAGCTTGAAGGAGTCAAAGCTGACTGCTAGAGATACGGTGGGGCCTTGTATTAATATGGCAAATACAGAAGCCTATGGGACAAAATCCTAAGGCTCAGTTTGGATACATTAAGTCAAAGTGAATAAGAACACTCAGGTGGAGATAGATGTCATTAGGCAATTTGAGTTTAGGGAGAAGATCTGGGTGGGAGATACAACTTGTGAAGCTGTCGCGGAGATGTTTAGATTGGAGTGAATGATAATACCAGGAAAATAAAGACTCCTAGGACAGAATCCAAGGAACATTAACGTTGAAAATTTGGGGAGAGCATTTTATGAACTGACATGGAGTTTGATGCAGAGCTGGCAGAGAAACAGGATCCAGAAAATATTGCATTTTGGAAACCAGGTTAAAAAAGTTTTCAAGGAAAGGGGAATAGTCACATGTTTTAACACTACTAAGACATTAAGTAAATGAGAACTGAAGTGTGCCCATTAAAGTCGTCGTATGTCATTAATTGTCTTAATTAGACTCATCAGAGGGCGGAGTGTTGCGCGGAGGGTAGAAACCAGAACCAAAAATATCAAAGAATAAGGTGATGGTGAAAATGCACACAATACTTTTGAGAAACTGGGCAGGCAGAGAGTTGGAAGTAAGGTGCTGGAATG